ATGCCATCACCGCCAGTAGCTGATCCTGTGGTGGACGTCGAAATGTTGGAAACTCAAGGTGATTCTGTGGATTTGTCAGCCTTAGCATCGTCAGCTGCACCAGACATGCCCGAGCAAGCCGTGTCAGACCCAATGCAAGTTGGTTCAATTTTAGGTTCGTTGATCACCGCTTTCGATCCTCCCTCCGAAGAACACATGCAGGACCGCCATATTGGTTTCATGAATAGTGTGTATCAACTCAAGGATCGACCAACTTATAAAGAAGAAGTTGAACTGTGTGGTACAAAGGTCATGCTCCATTTCCCAGGGTATGTAATCAGTGATGTTGATGGAACTCATTTGAGTTGCGATCAATCTTGGGAAGGAATGAAAGTTGAAGTGGGAAGCATGTCTTTGCAAGAGGTTGGTCGTGTCCTCAAGCAAAACGAAGCAACGCAGCTTTGTAAAGAATGGGATATTGTGCCAATAACCTGTCGTTGGGTCTCCACTCAAAAAGACGCTGATAACGTTCGTATGCGTATGGTTGCTCGAGAGATCGCACGTGGACAACTTCATGCCAAGGATTTGCAAATCTCATCTCCAACATCGTCGATCGAAAGCCTGAGACTCATGCTCTCAGAAGCCGCAGTCCAAGATCTCACAATCTTGGGTCTCGACGTAAGTGCAGCATTCATGGCAAGTCCATTAGGCCGTAAACTTGGGAAGCGCATTCGTGTCATTCTCAAATTCCCTCCAAATATCACACATAAGGATGGATCCCCAGTTTTCTTGGAAGCATGGAAAGCCATCAACGGGCTTAGGTCCAGTGGCCGTGCTTGGGTCGATCACCTTTCAGCTTTGCTTCAGAGGCTCAACATTGTGCCATCATCAGTTGAGTCAACCGTGTTTGCCGGAGAGATTGATGGTAAGAACGGCAAAGCGTGGGTTCAGGTGGTTGCCTATGTCGATGACCTTTTGGTCTTCTCAGCTTCCAAGGAGCATGTCTATGCTGTGTATGATTTCTTGTCAAAGCACTTGAAGATCAAGATAACCGGGTCTATTCTTTCAAGTAAAGAAGGGGGTGGTAAACTTCGTTTTCTTGGACGTAATATCGAAAGAAGGGCAAATGAATCTAAGATCACTGTGCACATTGATGAGAACTATTTAGATTCTACCTTTGAAGCTTTCGGAATTGTTCGTGGAAGTGATTGCCCTCCAGATTTGAGACCAATCCTTGACAACGAAGAGAAGTGTGAGCCTCTGTCGACTGAAGCAGCATTGCGCTATAAAGCAGCTCTTGGAAAACTTTCGTGGTTGTGTCAAAGTTTGATGTTTTTAGGCATTTACATCACTTTGCTGGCCACCGGTATGGCCAATCCCGAACATCGTCACGAATTGGCCCTCCGAGCTGTCCTCAAATGGTTGTTCAGCCAAAGAAGAATTGCTCAGCATTTTCCTAGTCCGGAGTCCACATTCGATGAGCAATCATCCAGGAATCTTGTGGTCTTCTGCGACGCATCCTGGGCACCCTTGAGATGCCTGAAGAGGCGCTCAATCACAGGAAGTGCAATTTTTTACAAAGGATCTTTGGTAAAAGGATTCTCCAGGGTCCAACAAGCCGTAGCACTTTCTAGTTGTGAATCTGAGCTGTCAGCATTGGCCGATGCATGTCAAGAGTCACTAGGAGTAAATAAGATCTCGAAGCATCTGTTCTTGGGTATCGATAATGATATGCGTGCAATCCATGAAAGTTTCTTCGGGCGCAATCAGGTGTTTCATCTTGCATCGTTCCTGTTTGCTGCCAAAGCCCAAGCTGATTCGACTGTGTCCCAAAGTGTTGAACAACCCGATGCCATCATCGAAATGTATTGCGATTCTCAGGCTGCAATCCGGATACTCCAAGCCAGTGGGCTTCAGAGGCGATCAAGACACGTCGAATTGCGTGTTTATTTTTGTCAAGAGCTAGTCAAACAAGGTAAGATTAAACTCAATTGGATCGATGCCGGAGGTCAGATTGCTGATGCATTGACCAAGACGCTAGGAGCAAAGCTCTTTCATCGATTCGTTGTTCTCATGGGGTATCTTGAGAGGAGTGAACTCTCCACTGAAGCATATGCACACGAGCTCATTCTCAGGTCTCAGATCCGTACCTCGCCCGCCAAGTCCAAGTCCATGAAGTCTCAACAGGTAGCATACTCGGATTTACTGCCGAGCAGTCATTCCGGAGTCCCTGCAAATGAACCAAAGGAAAATTCTGCCAGTTCTGTCCCTGATATGTTGCCGGGCAGCCCATCTAGTGTGTCAGAACCTGAGGCCATCCGAAGCTTGTTGATTGACGCCAGATCCATATCGCAAGTTCGGACACCAAGATTCGAGAACATCTTCTTGGAGATTTGCTGTGACCGTAATAGCCAATTGAGCAACATAATCTTTAAGATATGTCCCCACAACTGGTTGATCATCAGAGTCACGGAAGATAGTCCTCTTGAGGTCCATCAGCCAGAAATCATCCAGCTGCTTTCGAGGCACAAAGGTTTCAGTTTTTCCCATTGTTCACTGCCGTGCGCAGGAGGTAGTAACATTCAGAATCTGAATAAGAATGAGTCCTTGAAGCAGCATCGTCATGACACATTTTTCCATTTGCTCAGTTTGTGCGAGAAGATTTGTGCAAGTTCGAGTCACTTTTCTTTTGAGTTGCCTAAGAGAAATAACTATTGGAAGAGTGAACAGCTTCACAAGTCGTTGAAGAACATTGGAAGAAAATTGTTCTGTGAATTCCCAAAGTTGTGTTCTTTCGATGTGCCAGTCACCAAAGTTTTCTTGTGGGTTGGATCGCATCCCACAATTGTTCGTAAGTTCTCGAAACATGCAAAAGAATGCAGTTGTTCGTATCACCTCCCATTCAACTCAGTCGATTGGACATCTACTGGCCGCTATCCAGAGAATCTTTGCAAGGTCATTGCCAGTGGAGTGATCTCCATAAGCCGCGCCGAGCCATCAGCATCCGGAGGTGGATACATCATGTTTGAGCCAGGGTGGAATGACATTTTGTTCAGTGTGCCGAATCTCGTCAGTCACCCAATTGATAGCTCTAACTGAATCAGTAGCCATGCCGTGGGATTGTTTTGGTGAGTACACCCAAATTGTCTTGCAGCAGAAGCCAAATATATAGTGGGATTGTTTTGGTGAGTACACCCAAATTGTCTTGCAACAGAAGCCAAATATATAGATTTATATGAACCGATAAGTTTCCGCTCAAGCTTTAACGCAAAGCCTGATTTCTGTTCCCAGTGGATGTTGGCTGAGATCATGTTTCTCATGGTGCTATTGCAGGTGATGACGTTGTGCTGTGTTTTGACACGGCAAGATCGCAGCTCGAACAGGGCTGGACATCGTTCACCACGAACGCCAAGATCTCGTTCATCAAGCCGCCGTCGTGAGCGTAGCACTTCTCGAGATCAAAAAGATGATCAGGCCGAATCCAATATGTCTGAAGCACCATCCGCGTCTTCATCAAGAGGTCGCCGCCGGAATCTTCCTCTATTGAGTTTGGAAGATGAGCCCCAGATCCATGAACGCCATTCGAAAGCTGCCATGCCTAATGTGCCGAAGACAATGCCCGATGAGCTGCAGTCAAGGTACAATATGCACAAGGGAAGAAAGCTCTTGAGCGTTGAGTCTACCGGAAAGGTTCACCTTCCAAGCTGTGGTTCGTTGAGGCGTAGCACCAAGACCGAGGAGGTCTACATGTGCAGTGCATGTTTTGGCCGAGATCTTTTGAGCGTCAACAAATATGGCATGAAGATGGGCATTCAGAACCATGTCTGCCATGCAGTCAATGCAATGGACCAATGTGAGTGTCCACGCTGGGGCCCGATCCTTGAACGCGTTTGTTGCAAGGTTTGCATGCCTCCCTGTCAAGCTCCGTCAAAAGCATCTGGAGCCGGATCAGGATCAAATGAGCGATACTCTATGTAAAATTAGGATGGTACATGCAGACCAAATTAAGCTATCACCACGATTGCCAAAGCTTGGATAAATGATGAAAGAGTTCAATGCAACTTCATGACCAAGCCTTCAAAATCGTAAGTTCTAGACGTTGACATAAAGTATATGCTGTAAATTCCATGACCGAATAAAGCAACGGCATTTGTGGTCAGCGTCCGTTCCTTTTTTGTTTGACAGTTGATGGCCAATTTCAACTGAAAAGAAAGCAGTGCTTTGATGCAGTTCGCCTTCCGTCGTCCGCCAGCATTGCTTAGTGTTCTAAATAATGCATAATGTTCTCAAGATTGTCCGTGCCAGGTGATGAAACGCCATCACTGTTCGGGCCAGAAGCCAAAGTGGTCAAGTGAACGCCTTCTTTGGTTGAGCTTTCAGCTTGATTTGTCAGTGAAATATTCTCAGAGCTTTTCTTAGGTGTGACCATTCTGAGCGTGCCTGAGCTCCGGTCACGACTTTGATAGAGGCCTGCAATGAATCTCAGATAAGATGGAAACTGTAAATAATCTCCTACATGTGCAGTTCTTTTGGCGCCAAGCCGCCAAGCACTTTGTTCGCAACTGTTCCTCAAATGACGGTCACAAAAGGGGGTGTGGAAAGTTGAAATCACTCGTGATCCAGTCATTTCCAGTTGTGACCGTGAAGGTTACTATGCAAGTTTTGGGAGTCTATGAGTTGAAGCTCTAGATATCCAGAAGGTCGCCAATGTGGCCATTGTCAACCTTCGTTGTGGATGGATTCCCAACCATGGTTCACGGATCAACCGATCCTATGCCTGCATTGGCTCAAGGGCCGAGCCATTCGTCGTTCGAACGCATGACATGAGTCAGCGAGAAAAGGTGCGATGTGTGTTTGGGTTCGGGTCATGTCCCATGTTCCCTTTCATGCTTCATGTTAGGTTCCCCACATGTTCCAATCTGGTTCAGAAATTCCGCACTATTAGGTGTCTTTTTGTTCTCTCTTTTTGTGTTTTCGTTAATCGGTTTGTTTTGGAAGGCCATCGCTCTTTGGCTCCGAGCCTCCCGTCACCAACGCCACCATGCACGCACAAGATTTTGCCGCCAACAACACACGCCAACGGCAGCTGATCAAAGGCATTCTGCAACAAGTCCTGTCGCGGAACTACAGAATTCTAGCTTGGGTTGGCTCCACCATGGGTTGCACATGTGCTCAGGTTTAGGCATAGGTCTTCCGACCAAAATTGTTTCCCAGTCGAAGCTCGCACTCCTGGAACTACTTCAAGAAGCTGGGTACTTGCAGAACATCTTCCAAGTTTCAATCCGCAAGTTTCAATAACATCCTAAATAATGGGAGATAAAGAAAACTGCGCTGACACAGTGACAAGTGATAACTCTCTGTCAATAGCTTTCACTGGCAACAAAAGCAACCAAGCCTCTCTCCTCTTGCCCGACCAAACTCTATGTTGGGCAAGTTTCTGTCTTGTCGTCTCTTCTCGTCATTGCACTTGTTTTCTAATAGCTTCTTGTTAGTAGAAACTATATAAACTATTAGCAGCTAGCAAAACATAGGTCGTCCTTTTTCTCGACTCTTTAGGCAACAAAAAGTCATATTTGTCCTGGAAAAGCCAATCTTCCTGCCCGGGGAAAATCAACGTTTTGCTGCGAAAATGGTTTTGTTGCGGCCCATGTTTCCCAACAAGATTGCCCTAGAAGAGTGTCAAGCAAGAATGCCTCGCAAACGTGTCCTGCTAGAGCGCTGCACAGTCTGAGACAAATTGCATTGTGTTGCATTCGGGCTCGTGGGCTTCATCGTGTTTATGAACTTCATGCGCCAACCATTTGCGCGGTATGCAATCATGGAAAAGAGGACCTGGCCATCAGCCAGGCAGTGGTGATAACTTTTGACATGCTATGCTTACCCTGATTCTTGCCGCAAAAAAATCCCGATTGCCGCGGATTTTCTCTAAATCCACAAATCCTTCCAGGCACACCGCACTGCGGCTGAAATGTTGGTATATAATTAGTTTTGGATTGCTGGAGAGGGTCGGCTTTTTGCAAGGTTGACCAGGCAGAATCGGGCATCCATTGTGGGAACGGACGGACCAAGTGTGCCCTTGGATACATTTTGGCAGTATTCTCGAATGTGTGTTCGGAAGCACCTCTGCAACTACCAATATGAAAATCACACAAAAAGTCTTTAGAAGGCCACAGCCCCACAGTGGTGGAAGTGCCTTGCCCCCGTTTAGGTCGCAGTCCTCGAGAAAACCGTATCTCGCATTCATGGTCCGATCTTCGTGGTTTCCTCGAACCAGCCAGACCTAGCACAAACCACGACGACAATGTGAACCTTGAAGACTCAATTCATGGCGTTCTTGAGCACTTTAACTCTCAGAGTGCTGCTCTGTCCGGCATGGATACCTGCAACACAATTCTACTTGTGCCAACGCACCTTTAGCTATACTGGTTGCACCTTCAAAGCCAGCAGAATCCCAATCACTTCCAATGAGTGGGCGCCCCTGACAAGAGATCTGTGATGCTGGCAGCATCCCCTCTCATCCCACCCGCAGCTGCCAGCTGCGCAGTGCAATGGTTTAGAGTCCTATCTGTCAAAACACAGCGCAACAATTCATGAACCGTTGCGCCGTTCCGCCACGCGCAGCCTGTCAACGAAGTCCCCGTTAAAGACATACGACCTTAACTGCATCGACTGGCTCTAGGATTATGTTCTGCGGGGGTGCGGTGGTCTAGAACAACTGGATGTTCTGGAAAACAATTTACGGTTGGGTGCCATATATTTGAGCAAAGCGTATCGAACAACCATCCTTACCTCTCAGTGGTGTTAGACCAAATCTCGATCCTTAATCTAAACAAAGCGGAAGAAAGCATGCTTGAACGGGGCCCGTCCCCGCGTTGACAATTGCGAACACTGACATTGTGTGGTTGTCTGTGATACTGTTAATATAGGGTGCGATTTGTGCTCTCAAAGCTGCTTCAATGTGTCAGTGGAAACACTCAGTAGAATGGCAATGTTGACAGAGTCTGGTCGTGATGCTGATGATCACATTTGTAGTATGAAACCTTGCATTCCCATTGTGGAAAGGTATCCCCAAACTGTACAAAATTTGGTGTTCAAGTACTGGTGTCACATAGTGGTGTGCGTAGGCTTCATTTCGGAGCCGTCGAATTTATAGAGCGCCGATGGGGCACTGTGGAAGCTGCATCTATGAAAATACTGAAATGCTGCACAAATCTGTTGCCATCTGTAGATTACCTGCCTCTTTGATTTGTATGGAGGCGCTAGGCTCTGAGTCTGCATCTGCATCAAAGAATTCCTGTGTAGAATCGTCTGCTTCTTCGAGCAATATGAGCAATTCGCTTTGCAAAGTGTACTCCCCATACATGTTGGTGGCGCCCGCTTGTGCACTTGGAACAGCTGCCCCCGTGGCCATCCTTGTGCAGCCACCTGCTGCTTGCTAATACTTGGCTTGTAGCGGGTTGTGTGCCGTGGTGTAGCTCAATCCTTAGCTTTACCGGCTTTAGCATTGCCCACGCTTGCCCTCTACGTCACTGGTCTGCAGTTTGTCGGGTTGCAGTTGGGTGTCCCCCTTAGGCGGCTCAGCAGTTGGTCATATTTGCTGCACATAATACGTCTCTCGCTACATGACATGCTTGCATCATATTATGTTGCGGCCTTATAGCCGCCCTTGAGCCTCCATACTGATAAAATGTCACACCACTGCAGTGTAGATTGAAGTTCCGCAACACCGCAACTACAAACTCTGGGGTCAATCAAGTGAGTCTACCTGCCTTAAAGGCAACTCCGTAGTGTAAAAACTTGGGCAGCAGCATTTCATCATCTGCCGAGTCTTCCGTGCTGCCGGGAAAGCCAAAGGCAGCCTGAATTCTGGTCAGGGGGACACATAGATGACATAGTGATTTGGGCAGCCGCTGATGAACACTGCAGCATGTAAGAGTCAACACGGAAAAAATCACTGGAAACCCCGCAGGCAGCGCAAAACCAACGGGTGGGGTAACTTGACGACTTTCTTCGGAAACTTATATTCGGTAACCAAAAGGTAACCCTTGGTAGTTGGATCACGACCCCTGCCACACCGTGTGGTTTTCTTGTGATGTTCATTGTTTTTGTTGCATAGTGAAGTATGACAAGTGTGTTTCTCTTCTCGCAGTATGTTCATGCATTCTGTCTATGTGCACGCCCACACATTAGATACTCTTCTACTCTACGCTGCACTATGCGACTGACTTTGAGTGGGGTGGGATGGGTGGGGATGTGAACGTCCGCTTCTAAGTGCGCACCTATACAATAGAAACTCTTTTACGCTTTGCTACGCCACGCTACGCTACGCTATTTACCTCTTTTCATACTTGTCACACCCACCGCAGTACATTTCATGTTTCTTTTGTGCAAGCCAGGTTTGATGTTCAATGCATGCACGTGGCGTGGCTTTCAGCATGTTGTATTTCCGGATCGCTCTGTCTTTATCTGTATCTTACATCTTGCTGCTGCGCCTGCTTAAGTTTCCGGTTAGTCAAGAGATTCTTCATTCTTTGTGGTCATATTCTACAAAAATAGATTTTGTCCGGTATCATTGATCATGTTCCAAAAGAATTGGAAGTGGTCATGGAATCAAAGAACATCCAGAGCTCCGTAAGTTGGTGCAGTATATGTGGGGAAGATTCCTCGGAGCATGTATGCCAAAAGAATTGGTGAATGAGCTTTGCAACAAAGAACCAAGAAGACTCTGAAGGAGATGAAAAGAAGGATGATTGCACTGTCCATCCGATTCCAGTTTGCAAGGGAGCTCCATGTCCAAGACGCACGAAGCAATTCGTTATTTTAGGAAGAAAGCAGCAAAATGAACCCAACTCCCGATGGACGGGAAGGACATAAGCAGCTCCAATCGGAGAAAAGGTGGGGTGTAACATATTTCAACCAGGACAATGGGCGATACATTGGTTCCTTCAGGTCTAAGCTGCTCCCACATGACTTCTACACTGAGTTCACTGGTGAGGGTCAAACTTCACGTCTGGGATACTACCTTCCTCTGCCTTCAAATTGAGCCTTAGGTTGGAGGCCACTACAATTACGTTCCGATTGCCAGTGGGTTCCCATTACAATTAGGTTGGGGACCATTGCTTCATATATATATATATAGATCCTAGCATTTCATGTCACTTCATGGCCCGTCTGCTCGCAACCTTTCCTTAAGCTCCGTGCAAAAAAGAGCAACAGGTCTCGTAGCTGCCCATGGATGTCACCAAAGATTCTACAGGGCACGTTAGCCTCAGCGATACAGGGTGGGCAGCTAGGAAGCTGAGCGGTAAGATGGGTACAGTAGTACGTAAGCAATGTGTTTACAGAAGCCACTTTGTGCAACCAAGTAAATTGCTACCATCGACGTACGAAATGGTGGCAATGCTGCTCTCGGACTTTGAGGAAAGTTTTTCCAGCAACATTGTCTGGTGCTAGTTGCATCTATTTCCATTCACTGCTGTGCTGTCACCACATGTAGCTACTGCATGCACCTGCCACAATGTCAAGTCATGACAATCTTGGCAAATGACCTCCGCAAGCACTGGCTGCAACGCAAGCAGCTTGGCGCTCGCTTTCGCAAGGATCATCCTGAGATGGTCTGTTCTGGTTTGCCCGTTCTGGTGTAGAATGAGTGTTTATCACAAGAAAAGCAGTAGCAACCATGTTCCTTTATCTACAAGGCCTTGGGCCTGGGCAATGGCCAAAAGAGATCTAAGAAATGGACCCTATTTAAATGTGGCCTTCGTTGCCTTCTTCTCTTTTGACCCCTCAGAACAACAAACCCGACCCTTTGCCACAGTGAGCGGCAACGTGTCAACATACTCCGAAGTGAAGAGCTCAGACAAAGCCCCACCTTGCGCAGCGGGATTCGATCTTGTGCTTGGTGGTTGTGTATATTTTCTACCATTGTCACTTTTTAATTACGATGCTTGGACTTGGGACATGGTTGTTTGCCACCTCCCCCTCTCCCCCTCTCTCCCTCTCTCTCTCGCTCTCTCTCTCTCTCTCACTCTCACTCCCGCCCTTTGAGCATTAGCGTGTCCGGCAAATGGCCCACACTCTCCCCCCTACCACGAGCAAGCATACATGGGACATGGAGAAAACCACGTTTTAACTTTTAACCATGTTTTAACCTGGGCAGTTGCAAACATCGTCGCATCCGAATGCATAGGGCATAGGGTCCAGCACCCCGCGTCTGTTCGGTGCACAATGCACCACATGCCTGCTCATCAGTCGTTAATGTATGTGCGCAGTTTGATGCCGTCATTGGTATGGTTACTCACCCAGGATTGCCTAACGTGCATGAGAAGTGCGGCATCATTTGGCTACAGTGCGGTATGGGATGGGTCTCACTTGCACACGCAAAAAACACCTCACTTGCCCACCCAAGGTCGACAGTCGAACATGCCTATTTTGTTATGAAGGGACCATGTCCAAAACCGCACGTGCGCACGCAAACATTAACTCACTTGCGCGCGCATGACTCACTTGCGCACGCCGCGGCTCACTTGCGGACACAGGCACATTTCTGCACCTTTCTCATCTAAATGTTGCCCTCGGGTGGCTGATAAAGGGTCTGCTACCTTGTCTTCTAAATTTTGCCCTGGGGTGGCTCACAAAAGGCACGCGCTGTTGGAATGGCACCTTCCTAATAATGGCACCTTCCTCCTCTAAACTGCTGCCTTGGAATGGCACCTTCTCGTCTAAATATTTCCCCTCGGGTGGCTGACCAAAGGCACCTTCCTCCTCTAAATTATAACCTCGGGTGGCTCACAAATCACAAAAGGTCTGCTACATTGGTTTCAGGCTGACATATTGGCATGCTGGCATTTAGAGTGTGCGCAGGCGCACACTCCTCAAGAAGCTTCTCAGCTTTCCAACTTGCACGTGTACAAGCGAGGCATTTTTCACATGTGCACAAGCGAGTGCCATGCCGTGTGGTATCCCAGTACAACATTGGTTTGCAGTTGTCGTTGCTGGACAAGCAACAATTCATATGGTAGGGATCTACCATGGCAATCTATTGGCTTCATTTTGCAATAAGAACGGGCAAGGCAGTTTGCGTCGGTGTGGCCGCATCTCAGTGGAGCAGCCAAAGCAGGTTTTAGTTTTTGAGTAGCACTCACTGACACTCACTCACAAGTCAATATATTCGGCCCCCTCCTGTTTGCTGTCCAGTTTTGCTTATTTGCCCCTGGCAATGGGCCAGCTGCTAATGACAACCCAAAACTCTCGGCCAGCTCTCCAGTCTGCCTTCACTGCATCGCCATTCTCCATGGTACATATCACTTCTCTCCTTTACGACACGAGCTGCCAATGAAGCAGCCTCAGGCTACAAGAAGCAAACGAAGCAAGTGCTTTAGTGATTATTAGGTTGGAGGCCATGGCTACTTGAGTGGAGGCCATCGCTACTAGGGTGGAGGCCATCGCTCTTGGGTTGGAGGCCATTGCTATTAGGGTAGCAGAGGAAGGGCAGAGGAAGGGTAGGGTTGCTTCTACTTCGAAATGCTTCTACTTCGAAATGCTCCCCCCACCCCCTACGCCCCTCAAGAAGTTTAAGCCCAAAACCGGAGGACTGAAAGAAAAAGTAAAAAACAAAATTAAGCCAGCATAGACCCAGATAGCTAGGCAGCATCCCACGACCTGTTGACATGCGACATGCGACTGGCTGGAACAAGAATGTACACAGCCTGCACGCACAGCAGCCAACTTACGGCGCCTCCACAGCGCGCGCAACCAGCTGACGCCAGCACCAGTGTGCTTTGCCAGCTGACACGGGGGCGGCACCAGCACCCGACCAGCACAGCCGCGCGTCTTAAACGCGCGCTCAGCCACCAGCACCCAGGACCACAACACCAGCACCAGCACTGACACCCCTTCGAAAGCGCGCGCAGCCAGCTCATTCTTATTCAGTTTGCAGTAAGAACCCCCTATAGTGTGCTCTTGCACGTATAAGTTTACGCGCACAAAAGTGTGCGCGCAAGCAGTAGGTGTCATTGGCCCAAGGCCAAGCAGTATCCAGCGCCACTACTGCCTTTGTAGCACGCTTGAAGCAACGATCTGTAGAACGATAAGGCCGTATGATCTTGCGCGTGTAAGTTTATGCGCACAAAAGAGTGCGCACAAACAGCAAAGCCCGTAGGCTTCACTCGCCCAAGGCCAAGCAGTATCCAGCACGGCTATTTTGTGTGTAGCAGGCTGAAACATGCTGAAACAATGGTCCGTTGGGAGCCTGACGTTGCGCATAGAACAGTGTACGTACAACAGTATGCGCGCAAACAGTACAGCCCTTGACAGCACCAGCACCGTCACCCAGCGCCAGCACCAGCAACCTGCCTCCACCACGCGCAGGCCGCTCACAGCACCATCACCGGCACGGGCACCCAGCCAGCACCGGCGCCCGCACCAGCACCAGCAACTTGTCTCCACCACGTGCACAGCCAGCACCAGCACCGGCACCCAGCACCAGCACCAGCAATCTGTTTCCACCACGTGCACAGCCAGCTCAGCTCACAGCACCAGCACCAGCACCGGCACCCAGCACCAGCACCGGCACCAGCAACCTGTCTCCACCACGTGCACAGCACCAGCACCAGCACCGGCACCCGGCACCCAGCACCAGCACCCGCACCAGCAACCGCAAGCACCAGCGCCTGCACCCAGCACCCAGCACCAGCACCAGGCACCAGCACCGGCACCAGCACCGACACCCAGCACCAGCACCGGCACCCGGCACCAGCACCAACATGTCTCCACCACGTGCCCAGCCAGCTCACAGCACCAGCACCGGCCCCCGGCACCCACCTTCGGCACCGGCACCAGCAACCTGTCTCCACCACGTGCACAGCCAGCTCACAGCACCAGCACCAGCACCGGCACCCAGCACCAGCACCAGCAACCTGTCTCGAAAGCGCGCACGGGCAACTCATTGTTATTTGAAGTAAGAACCCCATAGCTTCGCTATCTGGGGAAAAAACAAATTCTAACTCAAACAAATTGTTTTATACGGCTATATGATGCTTTTGTGTTGTGGTTCTTTTGAAAGGGGGGGTAGGCCAGTAAGATGAGGTAGCTAAGTTGCCGAGAATTAGCTACGAGTAGCGAAAAGAAGCTCGGTTTCCTTGCAGAATCCCCTATCGATTGTTCCCGGCAGTGGCATTCTTGAGGCTATGGCTTGGCTGACAGCACGACGAGCTCTTGCTTCGATCCGTCTGGCAGGTTGCTAGACTCATGTTTGCTTGAACGTTTCCTGAGGAAAACAATTTGAGATTTAGCGCGCCTCCAAACACGAGAGTTCCTTATAGCCGCTGCCGCCAAACAACAAAGAAGGAACTATTTTAAGTCATCGAAATTTGAGGAACCAAATCAATCATGTCTGTCCATTCCGCAGTAGCTGCTTAAGCTTCGACAGCTTACCTGCTTGCCCTTGAACCCTTGAGTTTTCATAGCCTATCCCCGAAACAAATCCAAATACATTGCCGCCAAACTGCTTCTCAAGCCTCACCTGTTGAGCACGTACCACAAATATACCTTGACATATCTCGACGCCAAAATGCATTGGAGGCCATCGCTATTAGGTTAGCTGCCCAACAGAATCCAACAGACTCACAGGAGCGACTGGTGCAAAAAAGTCGCTGCTCATTGTAGTCAGGGTCAGCACTTTTGAAAATATCAATTTGCCGGACAGGACCTCGGCTGTCTCGGCTTGTTGTTGACTCTGCAGATTCAGCATGCCACTAGCAGTCACTAGCAAGCCCGTCAGTGCTTGGAAGCAGACACCCCACCTGGTCACCACCTGCCAGGAACAAACTGCATCTTTGCCAATCTTTGCTTTGGTTATAAGGCCATCACAAGCAACGTTTTTGTTGTTTCTGCTTGCCTCGACTTCGTTCCGTGCACGCGACTTGGGAGTCAGTGCTTCTGATGGCCTCAAGCACTTGATAGCACACCTTATGCCGTTTCCCAAACTATATGATTCAAGTGAGCTCCGAATTCCCTATTGCAGTCCACTGGCTAGTTGTCGTGGCAAATGTGCACAATAGGTGGGCATGTCAAACTGAGGTTCCCAGCTGGAAATCTGGAGGTGCTAAGAGTTGGTGTCCAAAATCAGCAGGGTTGTTGGAGAAATGCTGTCTGGCTCCTTCGGAAAGCAACATCCGACGTCATGACGAAAGCCACTTCAATGTTGAGCCATCAGACTTGGGCTGGTGGCACGGGGCCGACACAGAGTGTTCCACCCACAGGTGTGAGAAGGATCTATGTCGAGTTCCAGCCGAGAGGCTGCGCTGACGCAACCTTGTTATCATGGCCCAGTGGACCAAAATGCATGCAACAACCCAACTGGCTCGACTGCCTCAGACTCCCTGACACTCTTGTAGGTGCTTGACACTCTTCGAAGGCAATCTTCTGTGACACTTTTGCAGGACACTCTGTAGTACTACATTTCGAGGACACTCTTGCTCGACACCCTCGTAAGGTGTGCTTTCTTCATGAAAATGCGCTTGTGAGAACTTCAGCATGCAAAGCAACCTGCTTCTTTCATTTCTCCTGGCCGATGATGCTGGACTTCAGCTACCAATGGCATGACCTGCAGGGTGCACACACCGACACAAGGCAGGTAGCGCACGCCGTTGATTAAATGAACGCACCTGAGCCCTTTTGGACAGCGGATCATAAAAATCAAACTCGGCTTCCATCACCACAGGGTCCTTGGCTTTCAACTGGCAAGAAAATCATCACTTTCAAAGCGAATTATCGAGTGCGCCTGCTTCTCCATGCGTGAGCTTGCTCCATCCTCCGAGCAGACCTGCATGATGAATGACAACACCCGACCGCTCAATCAGCAGTTTGGCAGCAAATATCTCGGTGTGCCTCCATTCCTATGTTTACAGGAAATCAGCCAAAAGCGCCCAGCTTTTTCCTTGAGCCAAATAGTCGGGGTCATAAGGTATAATATACAATGTATACGTGGGACACTACATAAAAACACCCCCCGCGGCGCGGAGCGGCTTTGCCGCGGTGCACCGAAGAGGAAGTCGACGAGTGTCCACGTATCAACCTCAGGCGGCGATGAAATCAAGCCGCACTACAACCCTCGAACTACTGCATGCGAATGCGGCAAGTCGGCACAAATGCAAAATGCTCTTATCATTATCAGATTAAGATGAAAGCAAATATGAGAGCAATCAAAATCTTTTCTCTGATGCGGAGCTGGCGACAAGTCTTCGCTTGTGCAGTTTTGGCAAAATACCTCAGAAATTGCAATATGCAATGAGGTCCTCAAAAGAACAATGGCGATGCCTTCCGGCACGCTTGTCTCACTGGGAACTCTTACCGTTCCATGCTCGAGAAAAACGTACACAGATCGCAACGACCACCGAATTATGCGCAAATTTAGCTGACTGAAGGGTTTGCGGCAGAGCGTTCCCGCTCGCTTCATGAGGATATGGAAAGTGACACGCCAACGAATTTTGATTTCCGGCGTGACCTTCCGGTCCGCATGGCGAGAAGATATTCTCTGCTTCTTCAATCCCTTTCTATATGGCTTCTCAGCGGTTCCACCAGCCTCCCTTGGATGAAGACCACCAGTCGGAGGAAGATGACGAGGCAGCTTCGCCCTGCCACGAGGATCGCCCGGAGCGGCTCCAGTCCCATGAACCTGAGCCCCAGGAACCTCCCCATCCTTGGTTCCAGCTGCTCTGCCAGCTGCCCTGATACTGGCTCTTTCCCTTGCCTTTACCTTTGCCCTTGCCACGACCCTTCGCTTCTGGACAGTCGCGTGCGCGATGGTCGGGCGAGCCGCGCTCGAAGCAGAGCTTGGCATCCTTCCCACTGCCCTTTGATCTCGGGTCGAAGGCTGTCTTTGTGCTTTCTTTGGCGGTGGATCTTCGCTCTGTGAGCTTTACCTCTGGGAAGCGACCCGAAAAGATCGTCAAGTCTGAGTACTCTGTGCCCTCACAGGCACGGGCCCAATTGCGCTCGGCAAATTCGACCAAATCGCTCAGGATCTCAACGGCGTCGCCTTCCGGCACGCATTCCAAGCTTCCCCATCCCTCCACGGCAACCACGGGTTCGTTCCGTGTCCGGGCCAGTGAGCACCACATCGAGAACTGCTTCAAGTTGAAAAAGCGGTTGTGGTGGCACACGAACGACTCGTCTTCAATGGACAAGGCCTCGGTCGGATCCCGTGCGATGGTGGGAATGAAGCACAGTTTGGAATGGTGCTCCCTTTCCTGATCGTCGAGGGCTCGCTTTCTCTCTTGAGCACTTCGGCCAGGGTTGGCGAAGATTGCTCGGGCCAATCAGTGGAGAAAGTTGAGCGATCCTGACGTCAGCTGGGTCGTCGAGCAGTTGTAGGCGAACAACGGGTCGACTTCTAACCGCTTGGCTGGCCCTGGAAGCCCAAGCTGCTTGGCCTTTCGAACGTAGTTGACGGCAAGTCTTTTGATGAGGCCGAATGCCGATTTGGCTCCTCGCTGCTGCTCGCCTTTTGACGTGTCTTTGACTACATTTGCCTTCCGATAGGCTCTGGTTGACAACTGATCCAAGGCAACGACGGACTCATTGAGGTTGGCCGTCTCTTCCATCTGCAAGTCCCTGATCAGATCTGCAAGTCCCTGCGACAGTAGTCGCACCGGTGCTGTCCATCGTAATGGCGCGTAGCACACAGAGGCGTCGGGCAAACCCGCTTGGGGATTTGGGCAATCTCGTTCGCCATCAGGTCATCGTCATTGATGTCGCGAAACTTCCCTTTGCCCTTGCCCTTCTTGCCCTTGGACTTGCCCTTGGATTTGCCTTTCCCCGCCCAACCAGACATCTCCTCATTGACAATGACGCAAACTTGCCCCAGCATGAAGCCGGTAAGTTCTGGCGGCGGACTCTCGCGGGACGCTTGGCTCTGAGTGAGTGCTACCTCATCAGTGATGCCGGTCATCTTGACTGCGCCTTGCATGAGATTGGTCTCGCCCACCTTGAGGTGGTGCTGATTTCGGCGGGCATTGCTCAGCATGTAATTCCGGGCTTCGGCCAGCTTGCTCAAGCGGAATTGTGGATTGTCAGTGGAATGACTCTTCACCTCGTCGTGGTAGTTCTGTCGCGTCTTGGCGTACGCCCTATTGAACCAGACGAACTGGTTGGATCGGGCATCGTACGCGTACGTCAAGGCGGCATTGGACACCCAGTCCAAACAGAGGATGCTCTTCCGAGTGGCGAAGACTCTGCAGCCTAGCTGCATCATGAGCTCTGTATCAAACGCTAGGTAAATGGGCTGTCCGGCTCGCGTTCCCGCAAGCTTCCGCATTTGGGCCTTCCATGGTGGGCAGGTAGTGAAGTAGTTGTGCGCCCTGCCAGTCTTCTTCGGAAATCCACCAGGGATGAGCCCTGAGGCGATAATGCCTTCCATTGCGGCGCGGTCGCACGAGTGGTACAATACCCTCGGCAGCGATGACAGATACTATGGTCGGGAATCATGTTGGTCCGTGGGAGCCTGCCCTCGTCGACCATTTTCGGCGTGTACTCAGGGTCAAGTGAGTAGACACGCTTAATGAAATTGGCATGTCCCAGGTCACCCATCGTTTGTGACCCTGGACAGCTTTGATGCCAACAGGCTCGTACGGCAGACCTTTCCAGGTCGCTCCCACGGTGTTTCCCGGCAACCGACTTTCTTCAACTCGAACCTTTCGTCCTCCGAATTCTTAATGACCAGGAGAACTTCCCACTCTCTGCATTGGTTGATGCGCTTCTGGAGACATTCCATCAGTGGCTTCCAGGCCTTGCTGCCGTCTTCTTCGAATTCGGGAGTGTCAAATCCTTTCAACTCCTTGTGGCCACGAAGATGGGACGTGAGCTCCTGGGAGATCCACCTGAATCGTCCCCATTCCATGTCGCGCGGAATCTGGCGCAAATGCTCTGGGCCAAGCCAGACCTCCTGCCCCGGAAGCTGAGCGAACTCCAGGTCCTTGCTTGGATCCTCAGCGTCGATCGCTCGCATGGTGGGCTCCAAGTTGGGTCGCCGCACCTGCTTGGGCTGGGCCTTTGGCCTAATGGCGAGCGGCGAGCCTTTCTGCCTCCTTCCATTTCTTGAAGCGAGCATCACGCTCCTCCTTGTCCCCCCGCACAACGATGCGACCGGTCTTTTCGTCGACGAAACTCAACTCCTCGTAATGAGCCTTGGCCTCAGCAGCGGCCTTCTCTAGCTCGGTGAGTGTGGGTTTCGGCGAACCTTCCGGCACGCTCGGCGTCTTGGGCTTTTCGGCAGATGGCTTCTTCTTCGGCTTCTTCTCAGCATCATCGTCTCCAGTGAGGTCGACCTCCATGGGCTTGGCGTCATCTGACTTGGTGTTCTCGTCAGTGGCCTGGCCAGGGGTCGCTTCAGCGGCTTCGCCCTGAGACTCCTCGATGGGTTGATCGACTTCTCCTTGGCCTTCGGGAGCGGCTTCTTCATCCGCCTTCTTCTGCTCCCCTTGGGCCTGTTCGTCGATATCCATGGGTTCGGGCCTCTCAGCTTCATCGGCCTCTGAACCCTTGACAGACTTGAAGGCCGCCGAGTCCGCATCATCGCCGTCCCAGTCTGGTTGCTCCTCTTCCGGATGTTCAACGATCACATAGGACTTTTCGGTGCGGACATCAGCAAAGGCTTCATCGTCGGCCTTTTCTTCCTCATTCTTGGGCGGCGGAAGCGGCACCTCAACTGGCGGGATGAATGAGCTTGCACCCGGGTTCTTCTTTTTCTCCTCGATGGCTCGTTCCCACTCGTCGAAGTCGAGCGTGTCTCCCTCGTCCGGGACTTCCCATGGAAATTCTTCCACGAGCTCCTGTCCACCTAACGGAGTTGGCAAGTCTGGGTACAGCTCTTTCATGATGACGCGATGCCTTTCATCATGCTCGCTTTCGTCCAATTCTTCTGCATCGATGGGCAATCGCAACAGGTCGTCGGGTTGATCTCCTGAGCCAGCACGTGGCTGGTGTCCTTCAGTCGCACGACATCTGCCTCTTCTTCTTGCAGCAACCAATTCATTATCTCTTGGTCGACTGCATCCACAATGTCGGCCGGGTTCAGTTCAATCTGATCCACGGCTCGCCTTCCGGCAAGCAAAACGTCTGCGGCAGCACGAACTTCCGAGATGGTAGGGTACCTGAAGAGGAATTCCATCAACTGCAAATCTCCTTCGCCCTCACCGGCGTTCATCACCTGGAATGTTCGAAAGGCGCAGGTAGCAATGCCGGAGTAGACAGCAACGCCCCATTTGAGGGTCTGATAGCACTCGATCATGTGGAATTGATCGTGGTTGAACACCTGGGACGTCATCGTGCTTGGATCAACACACGGGACCCCTCTCGAAATCAGGTATCCGTAGTGTTCCCCTAGATGCCTGTTGTAGGCTTTCGGCAAGTCGAAGTCTTCGGCCGGAGCATTCCCGACGACGACCAACTCAGCCACATCAGACCGGTTTCGCAGTGCGATGAGCCGCTCAACATTCTCGCGAACGCGAGTAAGCTGCGCATATGGCCAATCGGCTGCGACCTTCCGGTCCGCCTCTGTCTTCAAAAACCGTTTCTGGTTGATCCATTTACAGCCTGCGTAGCCGTAATCCCCGTAGACATCATTTCCGCCCCAGGGAACCAAGACGACCACTTTTCTGCCTGGATTACCATTTCTCTTGTTGTGTTCAGCCATTTCCTGCAGTTCCTCTTCGATGGCTGGTACAATCCTGTTTAGGCCACGGCCCCATTCCATTCTTGAACGAATGCGGGTACACCAGGCCATCGAGTCTTGATTCAGGAATTGGGCCAAATCCATCCGCGTGA